AGTGTTCTCGCCCCCGCTCCTGGTAGACGCGGAACTGCCTTGTTTCTCCGTTAAGCAGGTAGCTGGTGAAGGCTGTGTTCCCGCACCCGCTCCCGGTTATGCTGCATCTGGCATTCGTCTCTAACTCAACCAGTGAAGGCAGTGTTCTCGCCTCCGCTCCTGGTAGGCGCTGAACTGCCTTGTCTTTCCGTTAAGCAGGTAGCTGGTGAAGGCTGTGTTCCCCGCTCCCGGTTACGCTGCATCTGGCATTCGTCTCTAACTCAACCAGTGAAGGTAATGTTCTCGCCCCCCGCTCCTGGTAGACGCTGAACTGCCCTGTTTTTCCGTTAAGCAGGTAGCTGGTGAAGGCTGTGTTCCCGCACCCGCTCCCGGTTATGCTGCATCTGGCATTCGTCTCTAACTCAGCCGGCAGTGTTCTCGCCCCCGCTCCTGGTAGACGCTGAACTGCCGTGTTTATTAATCCAGCCAGGTGAAGGCAGTGCTCTCGCTCCCGCTCCCTCTGCCGGTAACGTGGGTGTAATTACATCCCTCTTTCTGTTCGGCGAGTAGCAGCAACGCTCTACTCTTTCCATTAAGCAGGTAGCTGGTGAAGGCTGTGGTCTCGCACCCGCTCCCGGCTACGCTGCATCTGGCTACCTACAGAATGGCTCATTCATGTAGCGCCTGTATGGCTTCTCTTGAGCCCGAGGACGGTCAGTGGGGACGAAATTCGAGCATCTGAGGGAGGTTCTCATGGTAAACGGCTGCATGAGCTGTAGCTGCATGCCTCAGGCGCTCAGAGTGGCTAGAATCACTGAGGTGGAACGTCTGGCAGCAGCCAACAGACACCTCTCCTTGTCACATCCTCCTCCAGAACAATTCGGCCGTTCCTGGCGACTTGAGGGAGTGATGGCTATGTGTGCTCCCCCCAATAGAAGGACTAGAAACAGGCTGTCCTCTAAAGTGGATCGGCTAGCTGCCGATAGGGGCATGATGAAGTCGCCTCTTGGCCCTTCAGCCTGGGCCCGGTGTAGGGGCTGCTAGCTGGCCGCCTGTCCCCCCCCCCTTCGGTTGACGCCCCTCCTTCGGTTGGCGCACCTCCTTCGGCTGACGCACCTCCTTCGGTTGACGCACCTCTGTATGAGGACGCCTTGTCGCTGGTACAGACTCGTCGCCAGGTTTGGCTGGCCCAGTCACCACTAACGGAGGCATGTAGGGGAGTCCTCCGTAGCGTACCAGTCGAGCCAGGGGAGCTGTTTAGGTCAGCTGCCCTGGAGGCACTGGAGCGTGCTGCCCAAGCTAGGCAGACCAGGCAGCAGCACTCGGGTCTTCGCAGACCTGTGCCCACTCCCAGCTGGCCCAAGGGCCGCTCTAGCAGCCGCACTCAGCCGCCGGATACAGGGGTGGTCTGCAGAGGTCTTAGCGGCCCACTCAACCGCCTCCCAATGACTTTCGTGCCCCAGGTCGCCCGCCTTCCAGGCGGCCTCGTGCCCCAGAGCCTTACCGGCGCCCCCCAAGAGGGGCCGGGGGGCTGGGCCCTGAAATCCCGGGGGCGGTCGTCGGCTGCTTTCCCAGCAGCAGCTCAGTTACTGGGCGGTCTGTACTTCCGGCCCTTGGGTGGTTTTCACCTTAACCCAGGGGTACGGACTGCAGCTCCGGCCCCTAGCCTTCGGCTGGGTCTAATTGACAGTCATCAGCGATCCGGCAGGGGCCCTAGCTCTGGCCCAAGAGTTGTCCGTCCTTCTGTCCAAGGACGCAATCAAGCCAGTAAGACCCTCTGCTTAGCCCAGGGGGTTCTACTCGGCGTACTTTCTCGTGAGCAAGAAAGTCGGCGGATTTCGCCCGATCTTGGACCTCAGAGGAATCAACAGATTCCTGAAGGTGCTGCCATTCTATATGCTGACCACTGCATATGCACAGGTGGAGTGGTTCTCAACCGTGGACTTGAGGGATGCCTACTTCCACGTGGGCCAGGCAAGATGGTGTCTTATATTCAGTTCCTCCGGCCCTTGGGCAGACTGGCAGCTGCCTCGGCCGCTGGGCCCTTAGGCCCGCTGTCGTTGCGCCTCATGCAGATGTGGCTGAACAGCCTTCACTTGGACGCCAAGTGGCACAGGCACAGGGAAGTCAGGGTGTTGCAGCATTGCCTCCACTCTCTGTCACGCTGGAGGGGCAGGGCCTATCTCATGGTGGGCGTGCCCATGGGCGCCATCCCATCCCGCCAGGAGACCATCACCATAGGTGCATGTCTCTCAGGGTGGGGTGCAGTGCGGCAGGGCAGGACCGTTCAGGGTCAGCGGTCTGCCCAGGAGAGTGCGCGCCAGGTCAACGTGCTAGAGCTTTGGGCTGTGCAGCTTGCACTCACGCACTTTTTACCCCAACTGGGGGGCAAGAATGTGCGTGTTCCTTGGGGACAGCATGTACGTTGTTGCTTAGACAACAGTCCCTTCTAGATAGTGGACGTTCTCACTCCACTCTGAATTTATGTGGCTGCGATTTCTGCCCGACATGTTCGGGTCGACGGCGCCACGGCGGGGTGCCACAGGTCGGTGTCCCTCTTTATGAGAGGGGCTTTACGGCAGCGTCCCCCTAGCACCCCGGCTTGGGACCTGCCCCTGCTGCTGGATGCCCTATCATCTCCTCCCTTCGAGCCCCTGGCCCAGGTGGGGCTTAGGTGGCTGCCCACGAAGGCAGCATTTCTGCTTGCCATAGCCTCAGGGAAGCGAGTCGGGGAGTTGCATGTCCTCTCCATAAACAATACATGCCCGAGGTGGGATTCTCAGGCGTTGCCCTTTGGGCAAATGTGGCATTCCACAAACCCACTTCAATCAGCCTGCCCAGCTGGCACGCTTTGACATTCAGGAGTACGGCACGTCGAAGTTGCTGTGCCCTGGGGGTGCCCAAAGGGCGTATATCAAGGCTACTGCCTGTATACGGCAGTAGGAGCAACTCTTGATTTTGCCCTGGCGGCACTAAAGGAGGTTATGCCCTCTAACCAGTGGCTGCCCCACTGGGTTGTCGATACCATCTCACAGGCTTACGGGGCCAGTGGCCGCCCCCTGCCATCAGGCTGAGATGCCACTCTACAAGGAGCATCTCAACATCTTGGGCTGCCCTGAGGGTGGTGCCCCTGGAGACCATCTGCGCCGCGGCGTCGTGGGCGTCTTCTGGCACATTCTCCAGTTGTCATCAGGTCAATGTCGCCACTCCCCATTCTTTGGGCGTGGTCCTTTTGCCGAGCTCCGCTGCTTCCAGTGGTGAGCAAGGGCTTGGATTCTTCATGACATTGTTGGTATAAGTCATCCAGTGCTTAAAGCACCGCCTCTGGCGGTCAGTAGGGATGAAATAGAACGATAGTTACGGCTGTAACTACGGTTCTATGAGTCCCGGATGACCACCAGAGTTCCCTGTCACTCAGAATTATTGTGTGCTCGCGAGAAGATTCTGGGAACAGATCCTCTGACGACACCGGCTGTATAGCCGGTGTCACGTGGGTCACAGGTGACTTTGTTGTTATTGGTACTCGAGCTGCGCATGCGCGCGATGGACATATCCAGTGCTTAAAGCACCGCCTCTGGCGGTCATCCGGGACTCATAGAACCGTAGTTACAGCCGTAACTATCGTTTTATATGAAGGAGATGTCCGGTCCACAAGGCGCATGAGTTGTGTGTTTGTGCTGTGCTCAGTTCCGCTCTGTGTATGTGTTTAGTGTGTTTGTGTATGTCCGACGCCGGCATTTGTTTTCAAAATACCATGAACAGTAATTTACACACATCTGGCCAACTCCGTAGGTATATATGTGTGTTCCCAAATGAAATAAATGTGTTTAATCTTAATCTCGATGTAGTGCTCAGTGCTGTCGGAGTGCAGGGGAACACTGCGGTTAACTCAGCCGTCTCTCGCGTTTGCTTGGTCAAATCAGCAGCTCTTCATTTGTGAGTGCGCGATTAATAGCGCCTTTACGGTAATCGGCCGAGAAGCAGCACTGACGCTAGTACAAGAGTAAAATAATGCATGTTTTTGTGCTATATTTGCGATAAAAATATGTTTTATCATAAGTTATTAATGAAACTGACACTGTTGGACTCAGTAGGCTACTTGTTTGACTGCTACGCTACCAACAATACAATGAAGCACTTTTACTGTGTACTTTTTCAGTTATTCTCTGTCAAACTCCCCTCCTGAGAACAAATTCAAGCCACTTCTGCTATATTTGATGAGGGTTAAAATGATTTTTAGCCATAAGTTCTTAATGAAATTGGTACTGTTGGACTCAGTACTTGTTAGACTACTACCACAAATACAATGAAGTACTTTTACTGTGTACCTTTTGAGTAATACTCTGTCAAACTCCCCTCCTGAGTACAATCATTCATGTATTCATGTATTCATTCATGTATACTCAAAGGAAAATAAATAAAAAGCAAAACTCTATGTAAATAGACAATATGTTTTCAAACAGATGTGCTCCTGTAAATATGCATTTTAGATTACTTATGTGATTAGGTGATATAGTGATTTCAATTTATTAAATGGTTACATTTTAAACAAATCAATTCAATTGTAATTTATTTTATTCAGAACCGTTGTATCATTTCATTATACATACATATTGTATTTATTTTAAAAAACAGTTTGATTACTGCTAGACAACCATCATATAATCAGACATCTGATATAAAAGACACGGTTTTATCATTGACTATCTGAACACCTTTTATCATCTGAATATGATACACATTCTTGACACACAACAATAATATTAAGAGAGCCATTAAGAGTGATTCAACTTATTTTAGCTCACATTTTGAAGGTTTAAAAAGTACACACAAACATAAGAAGCACTTTGCCATCAAACTAAAAACAAACTGCTTTAGTTCTTCGGTTTCCTGAGTTATTGTGTTCTCATATTCATAATTGTGTTATTTTATTGTAATAATTCAAAGCCAAGAAAACACGAGTGAAGATAACAAATTTGAATATTGAAGATGGGTGTTTTACTATGTTTGTCGGCTGGCAGACTGCTGGAGGAGGGGAACTTGGAGGCTGCAGAGGAACAGAAGCAGAGGATTGAACAGCTGCAGAGAGAGAGAAGGAGAGTCCTGGAGGACAACGTAACACATCAACCCAAATTCTTCAGGTCGCCCTAATAAGCAGATACATACACTTTTCACTAAGAAAATCATTAGTGATTTCAATTTATTAAATTGATATGAGCCTGTTTTTGCTCTCAGTAGTGTTTTATGGAGATAGTAGAAGCTTGTGTCATCATTTCAGTTCCAACACACTTAACTATCTTTTACAGTATTCTCGTTTTTCTGCCTCCACAGGAAGTCAAAGGACGATACCTGGGTGAGCAACAACACATACTGGGAGCTGAGGAAGGACCTTGGCTTCACACAAATAGATTTTCCTACACTGTGGTGACCCCTGAACTACAGACCGCAAACACTTTGTTCTGCACAGCCTCTACTGTGATGCCGACGCGGTTCTGCTAATGTGACTGTATCCCAGTCTTACCATCCACATTCAGTGTTGGTCTTCTTTATTGCAGTTCATCAAAGTTATTGCCTTAATAACAAGTGCTTATGTAAGTTAAGTAAACATTTTTATGCAAACATATATTGAGAATGTTGATACATTTAGGCAACTTTTGCCCATATTTTCACCTGATATGTTACACTGTATCACTCAAACTGAGAAAAAGGAAAACTACTTTGTTTAAAGGATGATAAATCATTTTCATAACTGGTCCTACTACACTAGCTTAAAATGTATTGAACAACTGGTCACTTTCACTGTTTTCTAATCATGGACATTCTCTACCTCTGAGATAAACTAGCCTTGATATGCCATTGATGATGAAGTGTATACATCTGATATTTATTCTGCACCTGCCTGATGCCTTACTCGTCATACTCGTATTATTTAATTTATTTTGGTTGCATCTCTGAGATCCAAATTATATCTAAATCCATACTCAACGTTTCTTTCTGTTTCATAACTGTAATTACTGCTTTTTGTTCTGATTGTGTGAATGATTGTGCCACTATGAGCAGCAGAAGCAATTATTTTTCACTGTATCTATTGCACCATTGTTTACTTAGACCCTGGGCTTTGGGATCAAACGTGTCCAAAACTATGCTCCATGAGATCAAATAAAGTCTCTGATGCTTTTTCTTTTTGTGGTGTCATTGTGACTTCGTATTTTAAACATTCAAAAGTTAAAGCCTGACTGTTAGCGTAATTTACACATAACTGAGACACTGCTTTGACAGACTCTTGTGTGATTTTTGGTTGAATGTGCACACACAGTAAACATCATATAACACTTGTGACAACCCTGTGGTTGTCCGCCATGTGGTGCTGTTGTACGCTGGGTTTTCCTTGTAATCAGCAGTGATGAGACCCACCTGTGGCACCTGGTTCCAACTTCCAGTATTTAAGAGGGCTGCACAACAGGCTCTCTCCATTTTCACTATTCACAATGGTTAGCTTTTTAAGGTAATGAGTACGGTAGCTCTTTAAACGTAAGTATATTTTATAGGAAAAAACAGATATTATTTGATGTTTGAATATTGCTTTGGCCCGAATTTCATCACCTCTCCTTTCCTAACTTTTTGGTATTTTTTGCAGATAGTGTATTATTGTTGGGGCAAATTCATCACGCTCTAACACATCTCAACAAGCCTTCCCACACACTTGCAAGTTTAAACATTTTGAACTGTACCCTACAGCTGCATAGAAAGCAGTGACGTTCATGGCTGGTGAGGCACTGACTCTTTCAGGGTCAGATTTACAAATATTATATTTTGACCTTAATCGAAATGTTCGGTTATTTTCAAAAGCTTTTTTAGTCTGATGTTTCGATTCATTTTAAACAGACTGTTCAACAAAAGGATACCCAAAATCTAAATATTGGATTGTTCTTTCTTAGTAAGATCCCATGTTCATTACAATTGTGGTCTTACCTTGACTTGAAGATGAAGTCCATGCTATCCTTCTGGACAACAATCTCCATTACATTTTTGTAAAAGTCCTCCTCATCTCCCTCTAGTTTAAAAACAAAAGTCTAGTTTGTTATTACCGTCTCTGCGTAGAATAACAGTAGCATCAAGAACATGTGGGCTCACTTGCGCCCCCTTCAGTGCGGCAGAGGTTATGGCTGCCTCTCCAGGTGCTTTTTTCAGCGGGCCTAAATATCATATACGTGAAATAAGTTATTTAGAGACTATGGATGGCGAGGATAAATGTAATAGAGGGATCTACAAACATTACATTGGTGACATACAGTGAGATGGTGCAGGCATGCGCTTAGGGCCCGCTTTCCAGACAGTTTCTGTGGGGTGACGCATTCTGAGGTGAGGCAGAGCTCATCTGTGCCTCACCTCACCACACAGTAACTGGCTGGAGCGCGCTCACAAAATAAGTGCCCGCGCTCCAGCCAGTTACTGTGGGTTTACGTGAGGCAGAGCTCGTCCCTGCCTCACTTCTCATCGCCACCCGTAGTTGGAGCAGAGCTCGGCCAATTTGCTAATTTTGACTATAAAAAGCGATTGGAATCAAACATAAATCACATTTACAACACAGATCAGTGGAGACATTTTATTATTACCCTTTAGTTGTTTTTCCGTTACATTGGAGTATGGCAGGTGAGGCTCTGCCTCCCCTGACTGCACGTCACTGATAGAGAGGGGGCAGCACAAAGAGAGCAGAATGTGTTCATTAAACCTAGCATTGTGGCAACACATTTTCGCACAGTATACATTACCACTGTGTTACCGGGACAAATGTAACAGGTATTTCTGTTGATAGCCCCAGTCTTCACGAGTGTGAGTGTATGAGTTGGGATCTTTTTATTCACAACACTTTCATAGTTCAGATGTGAATTAAAGAAAGATTGGTGCAGTGTGTGGAGATTGTTGTTTTGCCATGGTCCCTGCCGGAGATTCGTGTCGTTGTTTGTCACACATTCCACAGCTTTACCCTCCTTGCTCCTCCTCCGCTCTTTTCCTCTTTCTTATATTGTGCCTGCCTGATGTCTTCCATCCATTCTCTTTATCAAATATATGAATCCGACCAGTATACTTGGGCAGAGCCGTACAGCTGTGTTACATCTCTTCTGTTTACTGTGTGTTCTGCGGACTCGTCTATATCCTGCTGGCAGCAGCCTGTACATCTGCCAGTCTGTGTGTTCCCTGATATCTTATTTATAAATGTATCGGCTGAGAGGCGAGTACTTCAGGGGCTGCAGTATCATTGCAGAGATACTGCGGGAAAAGCATTAAGAAGATTTGGAAAAGAAACACTGAGATCTGTGTTTAAGTGTTGGCCCAGTTAATTTGGATGTTCCCACAGGATGTTGAGAAACACTTAATCCGTTGATTCATGTTTTGTTTTTACCAGATGTTTCCTAATCTTCCAAACAAAAGAAAGCAAGAAAAGATTCAACATATTTTATCGGAATTCAATTACAGTATGACTTTTTTGTCATTGACAGTTTTGTCTGCAGAACAGGCTCTCGCTCTCTCTCGGCTGCCCTGCTCGGTGCACCAGGCCACCGCTCCTCTGTGTGTTTTATTGTTGGTTGTAACCACTGCGTTGGGTTAAATCAGTGCTTGAATTGGAATGAAAAAGGTGCCAGTACTCTAAAATCAGCAACTTTTTCAAGTCAATTTTATATATACAGCCCACAAACAAGAATGTGGCTACTATAATGCTGGTGGGTTTGTCTCTTTACTACTGTATATTTTAGAAAGGTTCACTGTACTTAACATTTTTTATGATAGGCAGCGGATATGGCTAAAGCTCAGTAAGGTCAATATTAACTGAAAATATAGCAATCAAAGTCTAGATCTTCTGCTGAAGACACATGAAGCAGAGACCTTTCAGGTGAGAGCCCCTCTGGTGGTGTTCAACATTAATGACAAGGAAACAAAGCTCTGGTCAGAAGCATTTTTTATAAAAAGCTTTAACAAAATTAAGTATTTCTGTACATTTTGAATGCAATCTAACTTTCCAACTCAGAAAACGAAAAACGAAAAAGTGCCAAAAGTCTTCTCACATGGCTGAGCTGCTTTGCAATATACTTCACCACTGAAGAATACAAATATGTATAAAGTAAACTATGATGCAATCTAACTTTCCAACTCAGAAAAATGATAAAGAGCATGAACAAAGAACATGTAAAAACAAATGCAAAATTTGCACAATCTAAAATGAGAAACTGTAACTGCAAGTAACAAAGTCTGAGCCATGGTAAAGAGTTACATTGAACACCAAGCTGATCAGATAACTCCCTGGTTGGTCTGAAGTCCTTCTATCTCCAGGATCTGTACAAATCGGCACATTATGCCAAAAGTCTTCTCACTGGGTGAGCTGCTTTGCAATATACTTCACATTGTTAGAAAAGGCTCCAGAAGGCCTTGGGGACATCAGTATCAGGGGCTGGAGCTGGACAGGCTCTTTCATCAGCACTTCTCCTTCCCTTTGCCAGCCAGGACCTCACATACTGTTCCGGATTGAACTGTCCTAGTGATGGTCCATTACATTTAATGAAAACCAGGCTGGACAGTCGGCTGACAGAGAGAGCATTCCTTTTTGCAGTAAGGATATCGTTCATGCAGCTGAATGCCCGCTCACACTCACTAGTGGAGACAGCGATGGTTCGGACTGCTTTCAGTAGAGGCTCCATGGCAGCAGGTGTACGGGATGCCCTGGTTTCCTTGTATTCGCGAAAGCCCTGAACAGTCTCTCTTCTGTCCACTTTCAGCACTTCGCACAAACGTAGCACCTCTACGTCCCCATACTGTACGTCTAACTCCTCTTCAGGCCAACTTCCAGGATGGATAACTTTCATGTCCTGGATTAGCTGATTGTCCCGGGCCTCCCGGCCATGTAATGGGATTTCTCTTGTGCTGACATGAGAGGAGGTTGTGGAAGTCATTCTGTGTCTCAGATTCTCTACCATACTGCGGAAAAACTGACCTGCATGAATCTGTACAAGCCTGCCATTCTCACGCAGGGCAACACCCTTGAAGGACTTCTCAGCTAGAGCTGTATGAACTGTAGTCATGTGTGGGCCAGGCATGGTGACCATGGATTCAAAAACTCGTATTTCTCGAGTTAAGAGCCTATCTGCTGTAGGCAGTGTCATCTCTCTTTTTTGGAGTTGCCGAGAGAGGTCGCTGAGCTCTGTGAGCGCATCGTACATCAGTCCCAGATTGCTGACAAACGTTGCAGATGTGAGCACATCATCCAGGCCCTTGTACTTTGCTCTGTCTCTGGAATCCATGCTCGTGTCGTTTGCAGCATTTGTGAAGTGATCATGAAGCACTCGGTAGTTTTCCCAGACTGCTCTGACGCTCCTTTCACTTGAAGCCACCCAGCGGATGGACAAAACACGCCCTATCACCAGGAGATGCTGTCCGACTGCTTGCGCACACTGCGCTAACTGCCTCTGATTTTTGGGGGAGGCATGGAACAAGGAATAGAGTTTGTCAAAAAAGATCTGGAAATGATTGAGCCCTGAGACCTCCTTGACCACATCCCCAACTGCCAGCTCTAGACGATGATTGGAGCAGTGCCACACAAACAGGCTTGGGAATTTACTACACAACTGGGTAGCAACGCCTGTTCTCTTCCCTAGCATGACTGAAGCCCCATCACATGCAAAAGAAACGAAACACTGACCTAAAAAGTCCTCGTTAAAATCTCTTCCAAGACACTCCATTAACGCCTTTGTGATGTCATCAGCCGTTGTTCCATCCAACTCGATCAGCTCCCAAAAAAACGTTTCGGGCTCAGCATCAGCTAATGCTGAGCGTAGACACACAACAAGCAGCGTTTTACCACTAATAGTGGTAGATGCATCGACCAAAACACAGAGTTTTTTTTGGTTTTCTGTAATGTCTTTTGCCATTTTTTTCTTCAGCTCATGAGCTATGTGGTCGATGATTTCGCCACAGGTTTTATTGGAGTGCAAAACCCTGCCCACGTCCAGCCCATTCAGTTTCTGTAGATTCAAATCAATTGGCATGTCTGTGAATGGCCGGCTATGTTTGCCAATTTTATATGCCGTTCGAAAAACTCTGATAGTGGTGTCTAATTCAGATTTATGCATAGACTGCACTTGATGTTGAATAGTTTCACGTGAAGCAGATGTAAGGATGTCAGCAG